TATATATATATATATTCCAATGACTTCATTGGAATATGCTGTTCTCTCTATGGTTTTTTTGGACACACTGTATAGGATGTTTCACAATGGCGACTATAAATATTTATCTTTGCAGTCCTTTCGAAACTGAAGATAAAAGGGTATACACTTTGGAAGTAACAAAGCAACACTGAAATGAACAGGAAAAAACGAAAAAGCTATTGAAGTATGACAAATTATTAAAACCTGTTTGATGGCTGATTCGAACTTGGACGTGTATCTAACAAACGTCTTTTCTAATAAAATTTCTCTCCGTTTCCGCCCGTTCTGAAACAGATTTTAATGTTCTTCAGAGTTTGGAAATTGATTTTTCCTCTCCGAAATTTAATATCCAAACTCATTATTTCAGCAAACACTAACCTTTTTATCCATTCTTTTTCTTGTCGCACAGTGGACAGATCGTAATACTCGGTTCCCAGTAGATCACCGATGTCAGGTATCACTGGCAGCGTTCAGTGAGCGGGTGACCACTTTGATCAACTTGCGAAAGGACCTAGGTTGTGCGGGATCAGTCATTGTTAAACTGCTTTTTCCTTAAGTGTCTAACTTAGCACGCAGGTCGTTGGGCTACCAAAGCGGGGGAGCTATACCCTCTGCAGAGGGTCAAAATTGTGAAGGCATCATTATCAGGGATGTTTCCCACATCGTCTCCAATAGCCCTTTGCGTAGCTCTAGTGTGACGTAAATAAATTACTACTACAACTGCAAGAACCGTGATGGCTCAAGGGATAGATAGAGCGTTCGCCTTCCAATGAGGTGAACCGGGTTCGAATCCCAGTGATGACTGGTCAATGCGAATCCAGCATCCGGCTTGCACCGACTACAGTGCTGACGTGAAATATCCTCAGTGGTAGACGGATAATGGGTTAGAGTCCCTTTGCCGTCAGGCTAATTGTGGAATGCTCTCGTGGTCTTCCTCTCCATGTAACGCAAATGCGGGTTAGCTCCATCAAAAAAGTCCTCCTCGAAGGCAAATTTCTCACAATACTTGATCCAGGAGTTCCCTTGTCTTCTGTATTGGGTTCAAAATTACAAGGCTACGAAGTTAAACATTAATAGTCATACACCCAAAATATTGGGCCGGCTATTCAACGACGGTTATAAAAAAAATTATAATGCAACTGCACTCTCTTTCTTTAAAAATATTCGTTCAATTGTACATTTTAATTTAATTGTTTTTAGCATTTATGTTGGCTAATTTTTAAATTGGTTATATGAAATTATTTCTGTAATTACACTTAAAACGCTTTAAAGTTTAACTGGCTCAGTATATTTATGTGTAACTCCTTAGCTACTCATAGTTGCTTTGTGGGAATCGCAACCGTTAAAGAAGATTTTGATATACAATCAGTAATCCAAAATTTCCAACTTTAATTAAGCCTACGCTAACCCAACGTGTACACTTTTTTTCAATGATGTGTTAAAAGTAATGATTATGAAATACCTGTTTCGTTTTATTATTATTTTTTTATTGATTTTTATTATTTTTTAATGATTAAAAAACAAATGAAAATTTCTTACGAGATCGTGATTGAATAGCTTACCATGTCTTATGCACTATAAAAAAAATAGTGACCAAATTTTACTAGTTTTAATCGATTTCAGGTGAAGACATATTTAAAATATTTTTAGTGACAAATTAGATAAGTTACATATTATATTCGCCTGGTAGCCGAGCGGTCAGTGCGCCGGATGTGAAGCCAATGGTTGCTGGTTCGAATCCCGCTCAGGGTATGGATGTTTCTCACTCTCTCTGTTGTGTAATGTGGCCCACCTTATAAACGTTTATCTGTAGCAGTATGGCGTGGGTAATGTTGCTCGCCTCCGTGACTTAGGCTCGTAAGTGCCCATTGGGAAACGATGAGTGAGCAACACTTCTGGCATCTTCCGGGGAGAAGAACGAATGTTCAGTACCTGCTGTAGAAAAAAAAAAAAATATTCGTCTGGCAAGGGCGCCGGCAGCGGGGTGCACTTGCACCCCCCTGGCTTTTTTAAAAAAAAAAAAAAAACAATTAAAGAGATACAACAACAAAAAAAAACAAATTTGTTATAAAAAGTTTTTATTAAAAATATTTTTATTCAAAAACAAATAATTAAGTAATTATTGATACATAACAGTTAAAAAATTGTTTAATCAAACAAGAATTGTAATCGTCCTGTTTTCTGTCCAAATCTGTTTATAACTTTTTCAATGAATTCTGAGTCATCTTTGATTCTTTTCTTATGCACACTGAGCATGCACAGACTTGGCGGATATCTAAGCTATATTTTTTAAATTTCATTTAATAAAATATAAATAATATTATCTTTTTGATTAGTTATTTAGTTTAACAAAGGCGTATAACACAAACTGACTTCTCACAACTGTAAAACTTCATCAAAACAATAAATACCAATGTTAAGCGTGCACACGCATGCTAGTATACGAAACTACTGTTTGTAGTTATTTGTGTTTCAAA